GTTCACTGAAATTAATAATAATTTAAAAAAGTTAAAAAAAAAAAAGAAAAACAAAAGGGTTAAGTTTCTGTTCTTAAGCTCCTTTGTGTTCTTTGGCCCCACCTTGGGAATTCTTAATTTTCTACTAGTTTATTTACAAAATTAGAATACATTCTTTTCTTTGGCTGTGGTTTTGAATTAGCCAGAGCAAACTGGCTTTCTCTTCAACCTTTCATACGTTTACGACGCTGACTATAAGCCTATGTTCTAACAGCATCGTCCCATTTCCTCCTTGTGATTCCTGTTCCCAGGCCTGCTTTTTCTATTCTTTCCTGTCTTCTTTTAAAAAACTTTTTTATTTTTTTATTATTAATTTTAATGAAAATTTACAGAGACTTTGGATTTCCATTCATTCACTGTTTCTTTCCTGTCATCTGAGTGTCACCCCTGGGCTAATGCTGCTTTTTGGATCCTGCAGGGTTGATCTGCAATCATCTGGGGCAGATGAATTAATCCAAAGGAGAAATCCTGCACAGGAGCCCTGGTTAGTGCAAGAGGAAAAGTCAGGGGACCAGGTCCGAGAATAAGAACAGACTCGGGAAACAGGCAAGCAGGGAGACTCAATCCCCAAGCTCCCTTTCCCCTTCCTCCTCTCACACAGTGACCGCTTTTAAGGAACCAGAGTCTCCTCTTTGCCTCACTGGCAAGTCCACTGTTCCAACCCCTTTATCTTGAAAGCAAGCCTAACTGGCTAAAGGGCGCACGGCGCTGTAAGCTCCACGGCTCCACCAGCCCAACTCTGAAGCACTAGGACCCACAAGCAATCTTGTCATTGTCACAGCTCAAAGGCCACCTTTGGTGTGGAATTCTAATCAGTGGTTACACAACCAGAAGGTACACACACAGCAGGGAATGGAGTTCTTCTTAGGTGCCAGTTAATCAGAACTGACTCACAGCTGACCCTGCAGAGGCTCTTCAAAGGCTGTGAATCCCACGGAAGGAGAGCGGCCATCAGCGGAGCTGGTGGCTTTGAGCCACTTGAGTACCTTTGGGCTGACAGCGTAGCTGCTCACCACCGGCGCTCCTTAGGGAATATCGAAGGGATAGAACCTTATCATACGTGGATCCACAATCAACACACTTGGTACCAGCAGTGAGGCGATCAGGAGACATACTGCCCTGGGTAAGTCTACAGTTAGGGACCTCTCAAATCACTGAAGAGTAATGATGTCCATCTTGAGGACAAAGGTGCACCAGCTATGGGCCATGGTCTTTTCGGTCATTTGCTATGCATCTGAAAGCTGGACAAGAACTAAGGATTACCGAAGAATAACTTATGCCTTTGAACTGTGGTGTTGGAGGAGAATGCTGAAGATCCCATGGACTGCCAAAAGAAGCAGGTATGACTTGGTTCAGAAGGTACAGCTAGAGGGTTCCTTGGAGGCAAAGAGGATGAAGCTTCGTCTCACATCCTCTGAGCACGTTGCTATGAGAGGTTATTTATTCCTTGAAGAGGGCCTTGGGAAGGTGGAGGGTCGGTGAAGGAGAGGGAGACCCTCAACCAGGTGGCTTGACAGGGTGATGGCAACAACGGGCTCGAGCGTTTCAGAGACTGTGAGGATGGCACATGACAGGACAGTGTTCAGAACAGGTGCTCAAAGGGTCGCTATGAGCTGTGCCCAACTCAGCGGCACTGAGCAACAACTATGAGAATCTTACATGAAAACCCAACATTTCCATGTTCAAGCCCAACAGGAACAAGTTCAATTCTGATCTAAACATTCCCGAAGGGACTCCCCAGAAGCTCACCCCTCTATCTTTCTCTTGTCCAACAGCGTGCAAGGAACCCAACAGAGGATTCAAACACAATGCAAGCACTTGCGTGCACCAATCCGCAGACCGCCTGGGACCGTCTTGTCTTAACCTTTAAGGGTTTCAGTTTTTCTCTCTGTAAAATGGCTGTAGGTCATTTTTAGGTCAGTATAAACATTTTTACAGGTTATAAACTCTCTGGCTTTTTTCTGCCAACGTGAAAAATTAACGCAGGGACAGCTGCCCCCATCCGACAATCTGGCCCCAAAAGCCACTAAAGTGAAGCGACTGAACACCACTGTGGACAATTAACTCTTTATTGATTTAAAAATGAAGGGAACATGCAGTAAAATACAAAGTCCAAAAAAGGGGAGAAAAAAAGTTGAATATTTTACATTTTTTTTTCCATAATCTATCATATGTCTTAAGGGAGACCTTCCATTTATTGATACACCATTCCTTTTTCCTCCAGATTATTATTAAATAGTATCAGCTGGCTCTAGGGTTTGGTACGGACCTTAAAGCAAAATACCCAAACAAATCCACTAAGTCATTTAGAAATGCCACATATTTCACAAACAGTACTGGCACGCATTACCTTGTGCTAGAGCTCGATTCTACCTGAAGACTAGAGAGGATCCTGGGGCCCTCAAGACACAGGTCCACACTGGGGGCCCTCGAGACACAGGTCCGCACTGGACCACCACTCGTGGGCTGGGCGGGGACATCCATCATCTATCTCCTGCCCCATCTGGGCCCTTTGTGTCCACTAACTTTCTCAGCACCACTGCACAAGCTAGCAAGGGGAGACTACTATAGGTCATGCAGAAGGAAAAGAACACTGTCCTGGGCCTGCTGTCTCTCCTAATGTCCAGTAGGACAAACGACAAACTGAAAAGAAAAGGCCCAGCCTGTTTCTACTGTGCCTGCCTCAATGCAGTTCAAAGGTAAAGGCCAAGGTTGCAGAGAGGGACGGGGGTGGGGGGTGGGGGGTGGAGCGTACGGCTTGTTACTCAGTCTGGACGCCAGACTAACCTCTAAACAGAAAGCCAACGTGGAGCGAGGCTGCCGACCTTCGGAGGCGGATTCAGGCTTAAGCGGATGATGCATCTGTTTGACATCAAAAAGAGCACACTCCACGATTAAGCCAAAGAGGACACCATCATTCCACACCTCATTCCCATCTCACTTTCCTGTACCCTCACCAACAGTCCCAAAAGAAAATGAAAATAAAAACAAAGCATTTTTCCCAGCAAACTTATCATCAATCTTATCTCTCTCCTAGGTGAGCATATTCTCAAGAATTCTGCTAGGACCCAGGAGTTTGTGTCTGGCCCTCATCTCTACTTTCCTCCCAACGATCCATGTCTAACCGATTTCTCCTCTTCCTCCCAACATCCACCCCTTCGGAAGATGCTTTTGCTCCCGGAGCAGACAGGGCAAGCCCAGAGCTAAAACTACAGGCTCAGAAGGAAACTAAACGTGTGACAGATAGATCGGAAGTTTTTAGAGATGTTCCAAGGTAAAACTAGGTAAAGCAATCTTGTTCTTCAGATCAAAAATGCCACACAGGGCTCAGGGGACTCTGGAGGAGCAGCTCTCCCTTTGCGGGGGGTCAAGGTCAAAGCCATCTGTGTGTGTTTTTCTGCGGCCAGACACACAACTCAGCGGAGCTATTAGCAGACAAAGGCTGACTATAGAAGAAGGAAAACAAAATCAATTTCAATGATCATTCACATATTGCATTGAGTGCTCTTATTTAAACCTAAAGAATAATTTATATTATTTCTGTGGAAAATCAAATAAACACAGTCTATTAAAAACCCCTAAAGGCCACAGTACACGTGGGGGTGCTTTCCCCCTGGAGTCCGGTCCAGCGCACAGAAGCGTGGGCCCTCCACGGGGCCCACGCAGGAGGGGCGGAGGCAGGCACCCCCGTTATTGCTGTGGAGAGCTCAGCTTTGTACACCCATCTCCTCTCGACTTGGAGGCCAGGCAAACGGATTTTCATGGGAGGATCGAGGAGCAGTTTGTCAAATTTAATCTTTAAAGAGTCGAAAATAAATACTTCACCAATGATAGAAGATTTTCCCTGGTCATAAGCTACCGTGAGGAAAATTCACTTTCACAAGCCATTACTTGATGTTTTCTCTGAAAAACAGTCTATAAAGTTCCACTTGGAAGGATCCATGGCTGGAGGTGGACCACAGTCCCATGTTGTGCACCAGCTGAAGTTAAGGCGAGCAACCCTTTCTGGAGGGAGCAATGGAAAAGGGTGACTGAGAGCAGCTTCAGCAAGACGCTTCGGAACATCACGGAACAAAATGACAACAGTGTAGGATACCTCCATCTGAGGCTGTGCTTCTTTCTAACAAAGACGGCCAGAGTTCACATCAAGTACAAAGAAATACTACTAAATGAAATTCTCTGGGCTCCAGCTGATCAATCAACTTTTAACTGCTACTTCAGTGGTAAGGAGATGTCCACGTGGCAGGCTGGGCAAACAGGTAGGGTGGGGAACACTGAACAGCGGCTACTTCCCACCCGGGGCTGTCGTCGGAGTAAGGCAAGAGAATGAGCTGAGAGGTCCCCGTGTCCTGGGTCCTGAGGCTCATGGCTACATCTCAGACGGAGGAGAGAGGGGACGTGTGCAGTGAGTTTACTAATGAAACTCTTAAGGGGATTCCGGCCACTGGGGATCCAACTTTTCTTTCCCTGTGGGACAAAGGTGTGGGGGGGGATGGTGGCAGGAAGAACAGAAAGACAGACCTCTAAAGCTCCTAGCTAGGGAAGTTTGTTGCTGGGTTCTTTGGCAGTAGTAGGTTCAGGCAACAGAAACAACAGAGATAGGCATGTGTGGGATCTCCTTAGGCCGCCTCTTCGGGGCTGTGGTTCAGCTAATGCTGAGCTGCGCAAATCCTATTAGTTTACCATCGTCGGGAACATCGGAGCCTTCAACGCCAGATGCCTGAGAACCAAACAAAATAAGAAACTGTGGCGGTTAGGAGCAAGATTCAGGTAGCAATTATACTGTCCATGGGGGTTAGAGTAGGAAGGCGGTGAGGGACAGGTCTCTGAAGGTAAAATAGCCGATGCAGACGTCTCTACCACAGAAGACGGAAGGCAAGGTACACAGCTGGTGTCAAATTGGCTAATACTCCCTCTTAAGAACAGCCAAGGGTGCCAGAGAGACTGGAGGGGCGGGACGCAGAAGGGAGGCCACTCAGGGGAGATGCCAGCCAGGGCCCTGGGGAGGCTAAGCACAGGCTAATACTGTCACCGCTCAGGGGAAGTGGTCTCCAGAGGCTGAGGGCAGGAGGGAGGGCATTTCAGTGAGGAGGAAGGGATGAATACCAGTTTGAAAGTGACAGATCGATTGGACTGAGGCTCTTCCACAATTTTCTGCAAATTAGCTGCCACTGTAATTGTACAAACAGAGAGAGTAATGAGAGGCTGAATGTATTCATTGTTAATCCTATTTTAAAGGGTTTAAATGGTCGTTCAGAGTCTTCAATGAGCACTCAAATATGAAAGCACAAAGATCAAGTTAGAACTCCCTAAAGAAACATGTCTTTCTAACTCATCTCCAAGTCGTCTGACTAAACACAGAGCGCTGTCAATTAACTTGCTATAGGTGCCCTGCTCCTCTGGGAAAGACACTCGGGGGAAAGGTCTGATCTGCCTCCTCAGGCTCACAGAGCCTTAGACAGGAGCCAGCAAGCTGCAGCCTGCGGCCTGGTTTGGCTCTGCCTGCAAACTAACAGTGCTCTGAACACCTCACAGACCTCCTGGCCCATTTAAAGCCCACAGTTGCTGCTGTGCCATCAGGGCGACTTCAACTCACAGCGGCCCACGTACAAGAGAACAAAATCACTCCTGACGTCTCCTGCCTTCAGTGACCTGTGTCTGTGACCAGGCTGGACCCTCCCCCAGCCATCCTAGGGCTGTGTTACGAACGATTCTGCTCTCCTCCTGGGCCCACGAGGAGACAGTTCACTCTCCGACAAGAACCAGGATGGTCAAGCTCACTTTACGTGCTGGGGTCTGTCATCGGTTCTACTAGAGTCTCCCACTGGAGGTCAGAGTTGAGAGAAATCTTTGTCTCCCCTCCCACCTCCCTATATGTATATATTTATACACAGTCAAATCAGAACTGGCTCAGAGCTGACCCTCTAATAGGTTTTCAGAGGCACTGAATCAGATGGGGCAGACGGCCCATCGTTCTCCAGTGGAGCAGCCGGTGGATTCGAACCACGTGCCTTTGGATTGTTAGAGCAGCTCCTAACCACAAAACCACCAGAGCTCTCATGCATCAAGTAGCAAGTCCTCGTACAGAGAGAGAGAGAGTCAGGGGGCAGTGTATTACCTATGACTAAATCCCGTCCGTCGACCAGGCCAGCAGAGATGAGCTCCTGAGAGACGCCCTCCGCGGTATCTGCAGGGACAAGGAAGGAGAGCTCCACTTCCTGGGCAGCACATTCACCCCAAACCCTCAGAAGTCCGCGTGGAGCCAGCACCACCAGACCCAGCCTGTCTGCTCGACTCACAGACTCGAGGAAGGTGGTGGGATGTTCGTGCCCCGGGAGGATTTTCCCACGCGCACTATCTCAAGGGCAAGTGTGCTCACTGGTGTATCTCACACACTCACTGCTGTTGACGTGGACTCACTCCTGACCCTCCCCCGAGAGTTTTTGGGGGCTGTAAATTGCAGAGAGGGGAGTGGTCCTTTTTAATCTCATGGAGGCACTGATGGACTTGAACTGTCAGAGAAAGAGCAGGCTCCGGGATCACAGCACAACTCCCTATAGTCTAAGCCACCAGCGCTCCCCACAGGGGCACCCAAAGGGCACAATCTATCAGTCAAGGAGCCAGCAGCACCCTCGGTGTAAACAGACCTTTCTAAGTAATGGGGCGGCCTCATGTATCGGAAGAGCTTGCCAAAGCGCAGAGGACGTGGTGCAGCAGACACTCTTATCCTGAGAGCAGACCTGGACCCTGTCCCTCTGAGCTCAACCCCGTGATTGGATGGTGAATGCAGATCCCTTCCAGACATCACGGAGCAGAAAACAATCCCTTCTCTTTGGGGAAACAATCCCTTCTCTTTGGGGATTACTCTGCACATGTTTTGCTATAATCCTTTTTCATCGAGGTAGGGTTTTCTTGATCTCGTTATCCCAGGTGATAAAAGCTGACCGATGGCTGTACTAGAAACTAACTGGAGATCAACACACCACCAATCCATTCAACCTCAATTTATGAATGCTGGTTCCACGGCTTCTCAGAGGGCCTGGGGAACAAAACCGGTGGCAGCTGCCTGTCGCACGCTTGTGTGCACAGATCCTTTGAAACACATCTTTGCCTGCCTTTGAAAAAGTAAAATGTACTTCTCCATAGTGGTAAGTAATTCCAAAAAAGCAGAGAGAGTAAGGACAGATAGTGCTGGCTGCAGGATACTTCTAAGTAGGACTGCTGAGATTAAACCAGCCTCATTCCAGGGAGTTCATGCCCGAAACAGTGCGTGTTCTGCTTCAGCCTGAGGAGAGAGGCTAACCAAGTCTTGGCTCTTATTTCCTCGCGTGGAGAACAACAAAGCACAATGAGAAAAGAATGAACTCTGGGTACCGATGTATCGGCGTTTGGAAGGAGTCACACCTCTTTCCAGGTATGTAACTGTGAGGCGGTCACTGGCTCTCCTTAAAGCCCTGACCTCATCATCTTCATCAAAATAAGGTAATGCTCTTCCTTCTTGTTGGGCATCACCCAGTTCAACTACGAACTCTCTGGGTAACAGATGGAAACCTTCCGGGGTCCTGCACCCTCACGTTCTCCACTGGCCAAAGCCCACTGCTGCAGTCACTGTGGCTGTCCACATTGTCGAGGGTCTTCCTCTCATATTGGTCCTCTTCCTTTTCCAAGCACGGTGTCTTTTCTCCAAGGATGGGTGCATCCAGACAACACGTCCAGTATGTGAGGTGAAGTCTCACTATCCTTGCTGGTGGATCTGACCCACTAGAGGCTCCATCTCTAGGTCAGTCTCATAATCACTTACAGACTAGGCCACCAGAGCTCCCTCCAGTGTCCTGGGGCCTTTCCTTATTCACTGTCCAACGTCTGTCTATATTAAGTAACTGAAAAGATCACGACTTGGGTGAGGAAGAGGTCTATCCTAGTATTTAAAACCAACAGCCTTGCTCTTTAGCACTGTAAAGAGATCCTTGACAACAGACTGGCCCAAAGCAACATATCTTTTGGTCTCTTGACTTTTGCTACCATGAGTGCTGACTGTGGATCCAAGTAAAATTGGAGATCCTGGACACATCCAACCTCTGGGTCAAGCAGCTGTTTCTCAGGGCGTCCCCGTCTCTGTCAGTCCTGGTCTGGTTCCTCCACTTTCACACGTGCCCTTTACTTACTTCTGTTTTTGCTAAATGCCATCAAGTATGACTCACAGTGACCCTACGATCCACTGACTTGAACGTTGTCCTATCTCATGCCATCCTTACAATCCCTGACACACTTAAGCCCACTGTTGCAGTCACCTTGTCAACTCACCTGGTTAAGGGTCTTCCTCTCTTTTGTTGCCCCTCTGCCTTTCCAAGCATGATGTCCCTCTCCAAGGAATAACCTCTCCTAGCAGCATGCCAAAGGATGGGAGACAAAGCTTCATCATCTTTGCCTCCAAGGAACATTCAGGCTACACCTTCTCCAAGACATATCTGTTTGTCCTTTTGGTTGTCCATGGGTAACTCAGCCCTCTTCTCCAGCACCACAGCTCAAAGGCATCAATTCTTCTGCCATCCTTAGTCACTGTCCAGCTCTCAGATGCACAGCAAGTGACTGAAAAGACCATGTCCTGAATCAGGCACACATGAGTCTTCAAAATGACATCATTACTCTTTAATAATTTGGCGAGGTCGGTCTATAGATTTTCCCTGTGCAATACATCCCGTGATCGCCTGACTGCTAGTTCCAAGTGTACTGACTGTGGATCCAAGCAAGATGAAGTTGCTGACTGCTTCAATCTTTTCCTCCATTACGATGTTGCCTATCAGTCCAGAGCGAGGGTTTCCACTTTCTTGACATTCAGATTCAACCCATATTGAAAACTGTAGTGTTTGATCTTCTGCAGCAAGTGCTTCAAATCCTCACTTTCAGTAAGCAAGGTTGTGTTATCTGCATGGCAAAGGAAACGGATGAGTTTTCCTCTAGTCCTGATGCCACATTCTTTTTCACAGAGTCCAGCTTCTCAAAGAATTTGTTCAACATGCGGATTAAAAGGGTGTGGAGAAATTTTTCCTAACTAACCTTGTAGTGTCCACACAACAGCCTCTGGGTCTAGGTCTAGGTTTCACAAGAGCACAATTAGGTGTTGTGGGATTCCCATTCTTCTCAAGGTTACTCTTACAGCCCTTCTGCATTCGAGGTCTCTCATGCCGCCTCTCATCGACCCTCTGCAGATCTTCAGCTCTGAGCTCTAGGTCAGTGTCATCGTCACCACCTTTGCCTCAAAGCCCAAGGTCACTAGGTCTGCCTTGTACAACAGCCCCCGAGGTAAGAATTTGAGAACGCGGTGCTTACGATCACTGACGCACAGTGAGCAGTAACGAGAGCTTCCATTAGTGCCGTTTGCTATTACATTCGATCCCCTAAGTGCATTTAGCAGCTACATTTTTATGTTATTAATTTATCTACCAAAATCTTTAAACCTGGAAAATTTTTATTGTCTTTTGTAAAAGCAAAACCTATTGGAAGGACAAACTCTTCATAACACACTGCATTAAATGGCCAAGGGCAAAGAAAAGTTCTTTTTTTCTATGTTTCTGATGCCTTACCTCTCCCCGGGGTAAATTCGAAACGAATATCATTAAGTTCTTTTTTTGAATTCCTGAAAGAGAGAGCAGAACGTACAAAATCACATCTCTGAAGACCTGCCAACCCGTTATGCAAACTCAACAGAACCTCTTCTGGTCTCGAAAAGCCCATCATTTGTCTGGGTGCACTCACGCTGCAGCGCCCCAAAGTCAGCAACCCAACCTCATCATTTGTCTGGGTGTGCTCACGTGCAGCGCCCCAGAGGCAGCAATTCAAATGCACCACCAGGCTGACGACTACTTAGGTCCTTCACTTTCATTTTTGTGTGTGTCTGTGTGGTGATGGGAGGGCATGATTACATGTTTATTACATGTCTAGTTTTATCCTCTGGCTGCGGAAGGAAAAAGTCAGGGATATTCCAAATTAGAAATAGCATGACAGATCACGTCTTCCTTCTTCCTATGGAGCCAAGCAGGTCCAACGCGACTGTTGAAGGCCTGTTATCAGGGAGAGGCCGCAATCGCTCCAGTGGTTCTGTTCTAATGCAGCAGGTAACTCGGGATGCACCTGGCTTTTCTCCATGCTGGTTACCAGATGCTCTGCTGGAGAAGGAGGGACAATCTCTTCCTGTACTATTCAGATCCAATTTGGTGGTACACACATAAAAAGTAATTTAAAATAAAATAAAATAAATCTCCCAACCAACCACAAAGTTTCTCACAGAATAAGAATCCCACGGCTGTGAGGAAGCGGGGAAAATGATTCTTGCGCAGGGGTGAGCTTCTCCTTGATGACGCCTGGTAGGTGGGCCTCCCTGCCCTCAACATTCTTGGGAAAGGACCAGTCATTTCTCGGGTCCTCAGTCATCGGCTTTCTGGTCGACCAGGAAAGCAGCTTTTTCTCAGCTTTTCCCTTCTTCCAACCTACTCTGTGTCTGCTATCGAATTACTCATTTTCTTTCCCATTCCCTTTCTCTCTGCTCCTACTCCATCTAAGACATTTTCTTTAATAAACAGAAAACTCTCTACTCCTTTGGATAAGTATAAAAATCACCTGCCTTTAAGGAGTTTGCATATGCCTATTCCCACTAAGATGATATCTAAAAGGAACACCTATCTGAGCACTAAAAGTAGGACTCAAAAGGATGGGCAGGCAGAGGGGGTGAGGAAGCAGCTGAGCCCACACAGGACCAGTCAACACACAACTCCAGAAACTGAACCATGTGACCCTGAGGTACGGTTTACAGTGTCCTCTGGCCACCTCCAGGCTCAGATTATCCAGGCTTCCTGGAGGATTCTGCTGAAGGCAGTGTACAGTATACAGAGAGGCAGAACCCCAAAAGTATTTCATCTAAGCAGCACAAAGGGACTAGATCTATCTGAAAAAGAATAAACCTGAAGCCTCTGGGCATGATGGTGGGGCCAGGCGGATGACAGGACAGACCCTCTACAATTAAGACCTCGAAACCAAAGAGAACAGAAACGCTGAATAACTCCAGAATCCCAAATGTCAGAGGAAAAGATAAAGATGTGAAGGCAACTGAGGGAAGAAATTAAGTGAAAGCATGGAAAAGGAGACAGTGGTGAACACTCTGCAAACCCTGAAACTGAAACTAAACAAAAACACGGAATAGAGAGACAGCTGGAGCAGGGAGCTGGGGACAAACGTGACACAGTGAAGTCACTGCGACCTGTTCCCAGCAGCTTTCTGACTGTAGCTAAGCACCTGTGTATCTGTTCAGAGAACACACAGGCCCACGTTTAGATAAGCCGCTCTTCTATCCCAACGGGAAAACACCAAGCCGTATCACAATCCAAACAATCCAAATCTAAGACAAAGGACTGCCGAAAGCAGAATAGGAAAGGGAAGAGTTACCTACACAGAGACCAGAAAGGTGAGGTTCACATCTCTCAGGTGAAATCGTGTGAGCAAGAAGACAGCAGGATGGCAGAGACCAAACTCCTACAGCAAGAAGAAAGAGCCAGCTAGGAATAAGAAAACTGTCCCTCGATGATAATGGGAAATCAGAACATTTCCAGATAGACAGAAATGAAAGGAATTTGTGAAAACAAGATTGGCATTATAAGAAATACTAAAGGGAATTCTGTGGACAGAAAACCAATGATAGATAACAACCTGAAATTAGTACCCGTGACAGAGTCATTCAGAAACTATGCAAAGTAAGATAAACTTATGATACTAAAAATATCCAGAGATAACAGTCTATATATGAGGACAATTACAAAGCAAAAAGAGATAACAGTGTAGTTACAGGCCTTCCAAAGAGAGAGGATGTCAGGCTGATTTCAAGATAAAATAGTAACTTACAGGAGCATTTCAAAGAAACCTTCTTATAACAATAAGGAAGGAAATGCAACTTTTTCTGCCTTTCTCTCTAACTGTGGTCTTAAACCAAGATGACCAGGAACTCATGCGTGGAAAGAGGATGAGATGGGGGGCTCTGGCAATGACAGTGACAGTTAGAACCTGGGGCAGATCATGTTGTACTGTCAGCACTCCATGGACTTTTAAAATGTCACTGTGAGTAAAGAGATCTAATCTGTCATGAGAACTTTGGCATTTCAATCCTAAACCAAGGACTGGCAACAGAACAAGGCTGAAGCAGACTGCTCTCTATGGCCCTTCCTGCCAAGCAATCTTTCAGGACTTCTCTGCATGGCCCTTTGCCCCTCCAAGGTACAAGAACTGGTCTCCATTTGCTTGGAATAACTGAGAGTCAAGACTCAGAGGAGGAAATGGACTAGTGGCCGACTGCCGACCACCTCAACAACTGCCTTCTTCACCAAGAGACTGAAGAACCCGGCTGTGGTCAGCTATTGTTACAAAATATTCTAGAAACCAGACTTTCTAGAGCCACCGAGGCTAGAAAAACCCTTCCAACTACTGCCCTGATAAACTGAACCTTACACCAGTGATCTCCTCTAAAATCTTAGATCCAAACGTTTAGCTTAACTATGAAAGAACATCTGCCTTGTGCATTATGCTTTTGGAAGAACTATCTATGTGAAATTAAACTGACCGCAGGAATACTAAAGACCAGACAGTATGCACAGGGTGCAGCAAATTTATAATAAAAGGAAGGAACAATTCAGAAAAGGAAGGTGGAAATGAACATGCACTTAAGTGTAAACACTGCCATGGAATTGTACCTGTGGGAACGGAGTTGGTGCATGTTTTACCGTGTCCTAAACAACAATAAAGAAAAGCAACTTGAAACACTTGGTGTAAAACGAAGAAACAGACTAACTATCTATCTATCTATCTATCTATCTATCTATCTATCTATCTATCTATCTATGTGTGTTTATGAGAAAGAGAGAAAGGTTTTTCGTTTCATTTCTCACGAAATAAGGCATCTACCTACCTACCTACCTACCTACCTACCTACCTACCTACCTACCTACCTATCTATCTATCTATCTATCTATCTATCTATCTATCTATCTATCTATCTATCTGTTTATGAGAGACAGAGAGATAGAGAAAGGTTTTTCCTTTCATTTCTCACGAATAAGGCCTTGATTTTATGCCACAATCAGAAAGTCCTCCACTCCTGGGTTCATCTTAGAACCTATAAATAGGTGACAATAAAGTGAAAAGGACAAATCTGATCTTCAGATAAGGTACCCTGCTGGAGAAAATGGTTAAGCACTAAGCTGCTAGCCAAAAGGTCAGTGGTTCAAATCCACCAGTAGGTTTAAGGGAGAAAAGACCTGGCGAATTGCCTTGCAACAATTTCAGGCTTTGAAACCTCAGGGGGCAGCTCGAGCTGAGTCTCTACGAACTGGCATCATCGGTCGGAACGATAATCTTCAGGTAAGCGTGTTAGTGTCCCCAAAAAACTCTTCCTCAATAAAGACCACACTCTTCACCTCCATTTGCTAGATAGCTTCCTCACTTACTGGCTAGTCCAACAATTTGCATTAACAATACTGGGGGTGGGGGGTGAATATTCTATTATTAATGTTGCATATTAAAGATAGACATCTGTGAGGAATGAAGGCCAAGGTGGAAGGCAACCGTAACGCGAGCTGTGACGGTGAAGGTTCCGTGTCAGCGTGGCCGGGCATGACTCACAGCCGTCTGGCCTCACGTGATGATGAAATGTGTCCGTTATCTCACAGTGGGATGTGCTGTGTGTCACGGTGTAGTTACCCACCACTGTCACAGGGTGACCTAATCTTTAGAACACAGCCTTCTCAGTAAGAAGAACTGCATATACTGCAAATATACAAATTTGCCACCGTTAGTGGAGACACAAAGACAAGGACATATATGCTGGTCAGACATCCAAGTCCTCACACATGACTAGAATTTCTGAGAGAGATCTATACATAAATCTGTATCTCTACATAAAGGGCACCTGCGGCTAGGTCAACATATAATTCCCTGCAGCTACTTACAAACAAGGACTATTCCCAAAAGGAGTAGCCTTCAGAAAGAAAACAGCACACCTCAAGCACTCAGAAAGCCAAAACCATCTACTTACCTTAATCTCAGGACTAGACTGATAGGGACCTTGGTTTCTTGTGAACTTGCTCCTGAAGACAGAGCCTAGAAAGCATTGAAGGGAAGGTCACCGGCTGAACGAGTAAGCATGGAGGTGACTTAAAGGCCAACTGCAGAGGGACCATCCACACGGCAGCTATTTCTGTCATCTCAAGGCCAGGCCCTGCGGTGGGAGGATTAGCACTCTAGGGCAGTGACATAAGCTGAATGTCAGCCTGAGTCAAACATAAATAAAAGGGACTTCTCAAACCCTCATGCAAATCCACATAAAGCCACGTTTAAATTCTGTATTTTCTTCAGATCTCTGCACCCTCTACAACAGGGAAAAGAAAACAAGCTGGGATTTTTTTTAACTTTTAGAAACATCTGCCAGCAGGCCAGAGGCAGCACCTAAATCAGCTGCTTCCGGAGTAAACTGCCACATTCTGAGGTTCTGAGACCTCAGGTCCAAGCGAATCTTGGACATCTCTGGCTTACTGGAGAAAACACATTCCACTTAGGTTGTTTTAATCTATTCATTTTCCTAAGACTCCTTCCCCACAGAACACACAGAAATGTAAAACTGAGACGATGAAAAGACTACAGGGCTGCCAGTAACACCTCCACGCAGGAGTGTGTGTAGCAGTGGTCTCCCAAGATGTCAAATAAGACGATTCACTGGGATACAAGAAGGGGAAAACAAAACCCCAAAGCACAGACCTTCTATTTCTATATTCCACTTAAAGCATCAGGGAAAATGCAACCTCTAAAAGCTAATAAATAAACCGAGTGGAATCCTGCCTTTACGCATGCAGTGTAACATCTCATGTCAAGTACAGTGTGTGAGCAGAGGGGTTCATAACGGGGCCCTCAATCACGAGGTGCTTTTAATGTGTAAGATTCGATAAATTTGCCTGTCGTTAGGTAAGTGGATTTACAGATTACATTATCTATTTTAACAAAATCTGTCTTCAAAAAAATTGCCAGGAACTTTAAAAGCTAAATACAAAAAAATATAATGAATTAAAAATGGCCTTTTTAAGGAACAGATAAGCAAACAAGAAAATCCTATGACTGACACTCCTGCTTGTCTTAGGATGAACCCTCTCGCTACTGTGTGTTACCAAGTTGGAACTGACCCACAGCTGACCCGCCAGTGGGTTTTCAGAGGCGGTTAAGCACATGGGAGGAGGCTGCCCATCCTTCTCCTGCAGAGCAGCTAGTGAATTTGAACCGTGTGCCTTCGGGATTGCAGCACAGTTTCTTATACTAGGCCACCAGAGTTCTCTATGAAAATGTTAAGCCAAAGTTAAACATAATAATCATGTAATCAGGTGAGCTCTGGTGGCCTAGTGGCAAGAAGCTGCACTGCAATCCCAGAGGTAAGTGGTTCGAATCCACCAGATGCTCTGCTGGAGAAGGAGGGATAATCTCCTCATGTACCAGTCAGATCTGATTTGACGGTACACACACACGCACGCGCGCACACACACACACACACACACACAAAGAAGTATTAATAATCATCTAATCAAGAACTGCAAGAAACTTGAAGGAAAAAATTAGGGTGTTTGGACTTTTCAATAGTTAACCGTTTTAGTACTTAAAGTAATGTAAGATCTTTGCAAAACACACTTATCTGTACACCTTTATGGCTGTGAAAACAGAGTTTCTAACTTGTTCTAAAATTTACCAACATCAGCTGGTATTCCCGAGTTCTGCCTTTCTCATCCACGCAGAAGGCCGGCAGCCGCGGCGCACCCCCTTACCTGAGCTGTCTGTGCGGGCTCTGCCGGGGGTGGGACGGAGACTGGAGTTGGCTGCGTCGGCATCTGCCCAGCTGGCTGAGGTAGATGAGCAGAGATCTGTTCTGGAACTTGTAGCAAAGTCCCCAGGGGATCTGCTGTTGGAAAGAGCTACAAAAAACCACACACATAAGGCAGCTCAGGTCCAGCGCGAGGCAGCGGGCAGCGCAGAGTGTTACTGGCAGACACCCTGAAAGCCGTTTTTGTGGGTTATACGGGCACTCTGCAATCCGGACCACACCTAACTCAAATGAGGGTTAAACGCTAGGAAGCCATTGCATGATTTTTCAGCAACTTTTTGAACATATAATCAAATGATACATCGAAGCAAAGGTCTAATTTACACCCCGTCAAATCCATCCAGCCATGTCATCATCTCTGCAGTGAATTTGACAGCACTCCCACCCACTCAGGAAGCTCCCGTGTGCTACGGGCAGGTATTTCTGCTCCCATCTCCAGCCTTAGGCAACCAGTGACATTCTGTCTCTAATTATTTGCCTTTTCTGGATATTTCCTATAAAAGGAACCATAAACACATAGCCTCTTACGCCAGCAGCTTTCATTTAGCAGTCATTATTCTGAGTTTCAACTCTGCCGTATACATACCTACACAGCACATCCCCTTTTCCCCTTTTCAACACATCATACTAATTTCCAACCATTAGCTACACCACCTCCTTGTCCACCAGAAGAAAAACCCTCAAATCTCCAAAATACATCTTCAAGTATATAACCCAAGACTACAGGACCGATACTTTTCTATGCCTGAGGGTCTTCCACTGTTTATAAAGGTAATTATTAATCAATGATTCCTTAACCTACTGAAATGCATCTCAAAAATAACGGAGATTTAGAATATTTTATACATTCTGTTAAAATCTGCAGGTTATAAATATAGATTTGAATGGGTGCATATGTGAAATACCTCATAAATTTTATGAACTGGTGGGAAAAGCTTAAACTAGGTACAAAAGCAAGTGAAATATACTTAAAATTGCAAGTCAGTGACATATTTAAAATTGCAAGTTAGTAATAAATTTAAGAAACAACATCTAACATTTGCAAAAGAAAGTGAAAAACTTGAAAGAGAGAAAAAATTAAAAAATGCAAGAAGAGGCCTAATAATTGATGGAGCCCATTCATGGTACAAATGGTTAAATGTTCTCACTGCTGCCAGACAACTCAGGTTCAAGTCCACCAAGCAGCTCCCTGTAAGACAAGTCCACAGGAGAAAAAGACACACATACACCCCAGCTCTGAAAACCCTATGAACATCCAACGAGACGGGGCAGAAGGCAGGAAGCAAGGGGTAAGACAGAAGGATCCATGAGAAGAGAGTGAGGCACAGGGTGGGGAAAGCGCTACTCAACTGTGAGCAGAGTAATCAATGTTCTAAAAGGAAACGTGCATGATCATTCAATGGAACACTAATTTGCTTTTTAAATTTTCAACCAAATCACAATAGAGGGAACATAATCCTCTAGAGCAGAGAGTTCTGGTGGCTTAGTGGCAAGAAGCTGTGCTGCATGCCAGAGGCACAGGGTTCAAGGCCACCAGCTGCCCCGTGGGAGAAGGCTGGGCAATCTCCACCCCAACAATTAACTGCCTCTCAAAACTCTCCAGAGGGTCAGCACTGGTTGGGTTCTGACTCTACGGTACACAACAAAAGAGCAGAGAGTGGAGCCCGACTCTGAAACCCACTGTGTCGTCATGAGTCAGAGACAGTAACTGCCAAGTCACAGCTGTCCCACCCTGAGGGCACTGCCACCTAGTGGGAGCCTGTGTAACTACAAGTCTGAAGACCAAGCAATATAGACTCCTGGGGGCTTGCTTACCTGTCCCACTGATGTTCTGAAAATCACATTACATCACCTTTTAAAAAATTAGAGAGAGAGAGAGAGAGAGAGAGTGTGTGTGTGTGTGTGTGAAGAGAGAGTGTGAGTGTGTGTGTGGCGTCAAAGGAGACTGCCCCTTCTTCTCCAGCAGAGCATCTGATAGATTGGAACTGCGTATCTCCGGGACTGCAGTGCAGCTTCTTGCCACTAGACCACCAGAGCTCCCCTTACATTTCTACCAGATGGAAGAAAGCATGTAAACCCACGAGATGATTCCTCTCTTCAGTTAGGAGCACTTCCAGAGGCAGGGAATTCAGGAATGGATGGATGTGCCAGGAGAAACAGTGAGGGGAGGAGGTGGAAAGTGCTTAAACATTCTGGACAGCGCATGTCAAACAACTACTTCTTCCACTCAGCAGGCCAAGACTAACAGACTCTCAGGGCAAATTTAAAAGTGAATATAAAGGCCCCAGTCTGTCACAAAGACATCCATTCACACTCCAAAACAATCTCTGATCAATTTCAGGCAGTGTGAAAATCTCATTTAAACAAATAAAAATAACTAACATTCTTACAAGTAAAATCCAATCAAAGGCAGAACAGGTAGAACACAGAGACACAGGACTTACCTCAGAATTCAACGGCTCTTTCACTCGAGGAGACTAGGAGAAATGCAGAGAAGTGTGTTAATGAAGCGCGAATTTAAAAAGGCTTCATTCTGACCTACACACAGACCTTGAAAACTGGCAACATCAGGTAAATACAGCAATTTTCATAAATGACAATGGTCTGTTCTCCCACTGCAAAGGTCCTGATTTCAACTGGGAGAAAAAAAGTCCCCAGGTGGTGCCCTTGACCATGAACCTAAAGAGCTCTGGTGATCTAATCTGTAGAAAGTCACAGTGCGAATCCCAAGGCCACGTCTCTGTAGGTTTGAATTCACCAGTGGCTCCATGGGAGAACAATGGGCAGTCAAGTCTCCTCCTGTGTGAACTACAGCCTTATAAACCCAACGGAGGGCCAGCTATGTATGAGGCGCTGCTGACTCAATCCACAGCTTTGAGATTTTTTGGGGGGACTGACTCAGCTGCTCACGGTGTCGCTACAAGTTGTGCTCGCCTCAAAGGCACCTAATAATCTCCTAAACGCTGGTGATCAGAAGCCACTCAGCAGCTCTCTGACACAGGCGTGGCGGTCCACTCAAAGGAGGTTCACTGCAGTACAGACTGCAGTCGGTCTGCTCTGGGGCCGACTACAGGCTGGGAAACCGTGTAGGGCAACTCTACAGCGTCAGATGGGTCACCACGAGTCAAAACTCAACCAAAGTCAAAACTGATGCCCAGGTGGCAGATACCTAGTATAAACCAACATTTACTTCAGAAGAACCAATTACAATATTTTATATGAAAATCGCAAACTAATTCTAGTTAGTAAATCTTAACCACAGCAAATTTTTATAAAAAAAAAAAAAGTTTCATTTTTATTATTTTGTGTGCGTGTACCATCAAATCGGATCTGACTGGTACAGGAGGAGATTGCCCCTCCTTCCCCGGCAGAGCATCTGGTGGATTCAAACTGCGTACCTCTAGGATTGCAGTGCGGCTTCTTGCCACTAGGCCACCAGAGCTCGCCTTAACCATAGGAATTTTGAAAACAGACACTGAAGTTTACCAAAAGTTTTCAAATGCTTCTAAACAAATTCTCCATTTAAGGTAAATTCTGCCAAGTATGAATTTAGTCAGAGTACTAACAAGGTCTCTATAGGTGACTGGCAACTCAACGGCACGTAATAACAACAACAACAATTTAAAATAGTAGCTCAGGTTGTTTGTTAATTTGTTTGTTGTGGTTTCTCCCCTACCACCTACTTACAAAGAAAAATTAAGATTTAAGTAATAGCAGTCAACTTGTGACACATGCAGGTAATGCTATCTTACTTGTTTAAGTGCCAGGACTTGGAGCACTTAGATGAAGGTCAAGGGCAAGAGCCAATGCTGTCAATTACATGAAGTCAAGGACAAGTCCTCACAACTGGACCAGCAAGCAACATCATGATAAATGGAGGGAAGAGTCACACGCTTCAGGATTTCATTTTACTGGGCTCCCTAAATCAAGGCCCACAGAAGTGGCAGTCAGGAAACCCAATCGTCAATTGTCCTGGTAATGTGCTGCAGAAGACCTCTGTAAAGTGCCGAAGAGCAAAGCTGTCACTTCGTGCACCTGACCCAAGCCAAAATGTTCGCAATTATTTTCCATCATCTCATATACAGCTCATCTTGTGTGGATTCTGGACAATGACTGTGGAAGATGGAAAAAGAACTGATTTATGGTGTTGGTGAAGAAAATGAAAAATACTGTATATTGCCAGAGAAATGAACAAATCTCTGTCCTTAAGTACAGCCAGGTAATACTCCCATATATTTTGGATATGCTATCATGAAGGCTTCTGTTCAGCTACTTAATATCTTGGTTTCTTCCCTCTGCTTTGGCTTCTCAGCACTCTAGTGCAAGATTCAGAATCTCTTCTGACATGTATTTTGGTCTGTTCTTCCTCCTCTGCCTTTGTAATGACCTTATGCATTCTTCCTGGATGATATTCTTGATATCCTCCCATAGCTCATCTGGTCTTCGCTCATTAGTGTTCAAAGGCTTCAGGCTGCTCCTTGGAGGCAAGGATTTTGAAGCTTCGTCTGACATACTTTGGAAGGAGGGACCAGTCCTTGGAGGGGGGCAATTTTCATGCTTGGGATGGTGGAGGGACAGAGCAGGAGAGGAAGGCCCTGTATGAGATGGATTGATTCAGAAACTGGGTTAACAGGGGTAGGTGTGTCAGAGGCAATGAGATTGGCACAGGATAGAGCAGTGTTTAGAGCTGTTGTATATAGGGTCGCTATGAGTCGCAAGTGACTCGCTGGCACATAACAACAATAACATCATGAAGGCTAGTTTCTTCAGAAGGTTTGCTCAAAAAATAAGGGCTGATGCTCAAGGGATGAACTGACACAGAAGACGACACGATGGGCTCAGACTGGGTCAGAACAGAGCAGTGCCTGTTCTATTGTACGGTGTCACTGTGAGTTAGAAACAACTGTGTGTGATCATTTTAGTGGTTTATCCCAGATTCGGCCTTTGGGAGGCATTCCCTGAAGCTGGCTCTTTTTGGGGGGTGGGCACCTAAAAGGAAATACTTTAAAGTAACGTGTATTTTCTTTTCCCCAGCCCTTTTCTCCAAACAGCACTAGTTCTTTTCATTAGGGAATGGAATTACAGACCAAGACCTGACAGCAAGGTGTCCTATTGGGATACCGTTGCCTACTGGCCCTTCAGGAGAGTGAACCTGGAATTATACGCAGATGTTTACGTACGCGAGCTCCAGTGGCACAGTTTATAGCAAGTGATGCACAGTCCATGGTGAGCTGTGCTGATTGTGCATCCGAACAACATGAAATCTTGAACTTGGTGACTTCAATCTCTCCATTTCTCATGATGATGCTTACCAGTCCAAGTGTTAAGGACTTCTGCTGACCTCTAATCCATACTGACAGCTGCAGTTTTTGCTCTTCAGCAGTAAATGCTTCAAGTTTGGTTGTTGGTTTTTTTTTTTTTTGCTTTCATCAAGAAGGTTGAGTCACCTGCTTCCTCCAATTTTGATGTTCTGTTCTTCTTCACACAGCCAAGCTTTTCCAACTTAACTGCTCAGCACACAGTTAAACATGGTGAAAGAAGACAATGCTAACATAGCCCTTTTCTGATTTTAAACCACACACACCATCCTCTTAGTCCTTCTGATGACATGTTCCCCCCTCTTGGTCTATGCACAAGTGCAGCTTGTACACGTGGAATCCCCATTTTTCGCAATGTTATGCACAGTATGTTATAATCTGCACAAAGAAACACAAGCAAGCAATTATTTTTGGTCCTCTTTTTTTGGTCAAGACCAATCTGACATCAGCAGTGATACCCCTCATTACACGTTCTTTTCAGAATTGGGCTTGAATTTCTAGCAATTCTCTGCTTGTTGCACTACTCCAATTGGTTGGCTGTGGTTTGTGGTTTTTTGTTGTTTTTTTTCCCCTTAAATTATTACCTTCAACAAAACTGTGTGCTATTGTTTACTCCCATATTAATAAAATGCAAAAATCAATGCAATATATAGTTGGTCATTAATCCTAACCAATGTATTTGACACCCTGAATACTGAAGGGTTTTTTTCTCATCTTTAAAAGTTCCATTTGGACCTTTTCTATGTTGTCTGGGTAGTGTCATATTCAAGTAGACGTGCCAGTCCAATATTCCACACAGAATTAAGTGGGCTCCTGGTGTTAACCGTTCTCTACAAAGAACTTCGGTCACTAACACATGTACTCTTTATGGTCGGATGAACAAGAACCACAGCAAAGAGCATCATCTCGGAGGATCAGACAAAGAGAGTTCCCCCTACAGCTGATTTCTAGAACTTACCCTAAGTTGTGAAATCGCCGCTTTCCCCTCCTCACTTTCTTCGTCAAATTCATCGTCACTCCACTCCCAGCCCCCATCCTCAGTTTTATGAAGACGGCCACTGGAACCTGGTACTCTCCGGACCTGCTCATTAAAGGGGATGGGGGTATGGTTTGGTGATTAATAAACAGAATCCTATGCCACAGCTTCACAATCTCCTACTAAATGATTGTTGTTGTGCACCATCGAGTCAGAGCTGACCCTCCATGGCAGTAAATCGCAGGGGAGGAGAATGGCCAGCCTTCTCCTGTGAAGCAGCTGGTGGATTTGAACTGCATGCCTTCAGAACGGCAGCAGAGCTTCTTGTCACTAGGCTACCAGAGCTCCCTAATTATAATAATTATGATTACGGAGATAATTCTTTTCCCCACAGTTAAGTTTTCAAAACTCTCACTTGTCCTTTGTTTACAATCTCTACTATCTGTCTTATCATAAGCACGAACCATTTTTAACACTTTTCTAAAAAAACATCAAAATTAGGGGAGCTCTGGTGGCCTAGCGGCAAGAAGCTGCACTGCAATCCCAGAGCTACACGGTTCGAATCCACCAGATGCTCTGCCGGAGAAGGAGGAGCAATATCCTCCTGTACCAGTCAGATCTGATTTGACAGTACACGCACACAAAATAATAAAAATTTTTTTAAAAACAACAAAAAACACAACATCAAAATTCTCCTTATGGAGAAATGGAAGGCAAATCAGGAGGCCTAGGTGTCAGGAGGCCTAGGTGTCAGCTTCTAAAGTGAAACAACCTCTAACTAGGAAAGACCAGCAAACCAACTAGCTCAGATCTCTGGAAGTGGAGTGGCCACTTACAACTACGAAGGCAATGCCTGATCAAGCGAAGACGGCTACACTTTGGTAAGCAAGTGGCAGGTTCAAAGCAGACGTCACCTCCTCCTCAGCCCTACAGCAGGGAGTGGACAGTGACGGTGCCAGGGGGGGACCTTCTCCTTCAAATGTGTGCGGTCAGGTTTTGGGGTGTCTAGTCTCTGAAGGACAAGTGCAGACAAAGGTCTTGGTTTAGGCTTCAGTGGTTCCCCCAGCAATGTCTAGTAGAAGATTTTTAACAGTTTGTTACTCAAACAACAAATAACGGAAACTTTGTAAAAACAGTTTGGGAAAAATTAATGAACAGTTGCAGGCCCCCATAAGCAAAAATGAGAAATCCCCGAGGTGTGGGAGAATGTGACTTGCACAGTTCCTGTAATGTTAAATATGTCCACCTCTACCCTACTCATTATGAAGAGAACACAAAGAAACAGAAAACCATAGGCCACTCATGGAAAAAGAAGCATCTTAAAGAATACGAGGAAACTCCAAAATTGGGATTCCCAATTAAAGATAATAAAACCACTGTGTTAAATATGCTCAATGAGCTAAAGCCACCGACAAGGAAGAAAAGGACTGCAGGAGAGCCGTGTATGAAACAGACAGAAATTATAAAACAGAACCAACGGAAATTCTGGAGCTGAACAGTCCAACACTGGCAATGTCCCTCTGCCCTTTCAGTGCTCTCTGGCATTTATGCGGAGAGCGCTGGCTCGCTCTGAAAATTACCGCCCAGCAGAAAGTGACCGGTCCCACCACCGGTGCGCGCTCTCTGGAACAGGCCTTCCTACTCTGTTTACTACAGATAGGCTGAGAAGATTTCAAATCCCGATTCCTTTTTCATTATGAACAGCTCATTATTCAATTTATCTCTCTTTTCTCAAATTTTACTACTGCAGCTTTTGTTTGGAAATCTCTTATTTCAAATAGGCAAGTTCATCACTCAGTTCTACTTTTCAAAAAGCAGTACGCCAAAATTGAGGCAATTTTTCTGATACAGGATCAACTGTCCTCTAAAGACCAATAACATACTCACTGTTTCCTAGTAAGCTTTCATTTAATAACAAACACCTCTAATGCTTCTTTTTCTGTCTCCTTAAGACAATGCTATCAATTTCACTGTGTCCCTCAACCCTGATAAGATAGGTGTAAGGGGAGCTTCCCTAGCATGTGGTCTGTAACACCTTTCTTCTCACTGGGGACCACAGAGGAGGGAAGCTGGCAGATGGGGGGGCCTCAGTACCACCAAGGAAGACTGGCCAGGAGGGAAGTGTGCCCTTTAGACTCAGGGCTCTGTGACCCCAGGAAGGTCAAAACACAATGGAGGCCTCTGATGAACGATGAACGCCAGGCCTACAGACGCTGGAGGAAACAAGGATGCTCCCCGACAATGAGCCACAGCAGGGGTGGCGGCTTCCCGAGAGCTGGCACCCTGAATTTAAACATTTAGCTTTTTAAACTATAAGAGAATAAATTTATTTCTTAAAGTTTTTTTACTGTTGTGGGGTAAAAAAAAATATACACTGTAAATCCGAACCTCTACCCTGATGCTTCCGACTCGAGCTGGGAATGGGCATCTTTGTTATGTTAAAGGAACACCTGAGTGAGACCTAGACAAAGCAGGAGAATGACACAGACCCGAGTGGAATGTTCCTGAGGCTGTTGTTAGAGCAATCCTGCTGAGCTAACGGCTACTCGTGAGAGACCTCACTTATACTCCACCCCACAGAAACAGGGAACTAATTTCATTGATTTAGGATGACAAATGCATTTTACTGTTACTGTTTTTAAAGTCCTCAGGTGATTCCGATGTCCAACAATAGATGATAACCAGTGAACCAGGCAGTGGGGAAACACCCTAAAAAAAAGAACCCCTTTGCAAATGCAAAGATCCTATAAGGCAGAAAAGAAAACAACTCATAATCTAGGGGAAACAGCTGGAAAAAAGATGGTATACCAATTGACATATTTCAGTTAACAGATGCTGCCCTGGACGTGCTCACCAAGTTGTGCCAAGAAATCTGGAGAACGACCACTT